ATATCTGGATATGCATATCCGGATATGATATCCGGATGATATCTGGATATGGGATATCCGGATATTCCCTCGACGAATATCCGGATATTTTGGGTTTTCGAGAACAGTAACGGTACTGTTCATACAGAACTGAGTTATGGGTTTGTGGACCCTAGATTGTGGAAGTTGAACTTCGGTAATAACTTATTTAAGTCAGAATCAAGTGATTAAGGGCTTGTGGCTTTGTGAAAATCCTTAAGACATGAAACTTAAGGAAAGGTGTTGTCTTTATGTCGTATAATTTTTAAGTATGATTATTGATATGATGATTGGTCCAAAACAGATTGTGATTCTACTGTGTTTGGACTTTGAGCTTGTGTGGACTCTTGGCTTGGATAGCTAGCTTGCAAGGTAAGCTTTCGTGTCATCGGTTTAACCATTGTATGTTCTACCATGTCCCATGGGGGGATGATTTATATGCATGATGTGTTTTCATGTACTGTTTTATTGAAATGCTATGGAGCTGTTAAGTGCAAAATGCTTATGATATGTATGTGGTGTTTCGCCTAGCCAGGAGGCCATGGGATGGTCCTGGAGGTGGGTACAACATGGGCGTGTACTGTGTGGGTAATAGACGTATTCTTGCACTTCTCCGATAAGTAGAATAGCTATAACACACATGACATGATAATCTGCTACATTGCACTAATTTTAGAACTGATATTGAATTACTGCTTTCGGAACTTATATTGCACATGTAAGTGAGCTTGGGGTGGAAGATCCTTGAGGACCCCTTGTCTTACTGAGATATCTGTTTAGAGATCTCACCCCACATTTGGGGCACATATTTCAGGTTCAAGTAATGCGGGGGTTGAGACCTCTAGCGACAGGAGGCCGGAGCTTAGCTGATTGTATGCTATTATGATGATTTTGCTGGATGTTGACATTACTTTATCTTTACTGTCATGTTATTTGATTTGAGACTGCTGTTGGGCGTTGTTGCCCTATTTGGTGAGCATGGGGATTGTCCATGTCACATTGACTTGACGTTATGTTTTTAGTTGTTTCAATTGTATAATTGTATCAGGATTATGTCTCGACTACGTATTGTAGATCCGTGACTTAGATACTCACTTATTTATTTATGAGGTATTTCAGTTAGCTGTCTATTTGCAATTTACATACAGGCAATGTTTTGAAAATGAATTAGGTTATTCAACTTGGTAATGATAATGACGTCATAATTGAACAGAAAAAGATATTCCACAAATTTTAATTAAGTGTGGCTTAATACGATAACATGTTAACAAACCGGGTTGACACGGGGTGTTACAGTTATAAGTGCAAGGTAATGGGCCAAATGAGTACCAATCAACCCAATAAGGTAAAAGAGAGAGAAAGAGATAATTTGATGATTTTCTATCCTCTTTTACTATTTTTACTGCAGTTAGAGAGCCATATGAGTTACTTTTTGGAAGTGAAGTAAAAAAGAACTGAACTATTGGATGAGGACAGGCATGGATGGACAACAATAAATCTTTGGATCTGTGGTTATTTTTAGTTTTAAATAGGAGTCTTAGATACAGGGATATACAGGTAGCACTCTCTTCTGTAAAGTTTTTAGTTTTTAATTCCAAAAGTTTGTTTTGAGTTCTGGAATATTTTTGTTAAGCTCTAGCTTTGTTCTTCTGAGTTCTGGTAGCAAGAGCAAGCGTGAAACTCCTTTCTTGGAGGGATTCAAGACTCAGCTACATGCAAGATCTGGTTTTGTATTTTTCTAGTCTAAATTTTCCATTTTCTGAATATTGCATTTCCTGAATATTGGTTTGTACCTAAACTCTTTTCTTTCTAAGTTGGTAATGCATGTCAATTTCAATTTCAGAATTTATTTTCCATTTGCTGTTAATATGAATTTCTAAGTTTCTTTTTCTGGAATTCAAGATGAGTGGATAATCATTCTTTTTATTGAACACTGTTTTGCGTCTTTTTATCTCATTTGATTAGCAACTCTCTTAGTTTCAAAAAATCTTAGAAAAGATTCTTGAACATTCTTGCATGAGCTATGATTGGGAAATCAAGTGAATGCATTCTTGCTAATTAAACCTTGGAGGTTAGGGATAACCCAATGAGGTATTTGATATAATTCTTGAAGATTTAAAAGACATTGAGAAAGGACCCTTCTAAGGAACAAATCTGGAACTGGGAAGTTCAAGCTAAAATAGTCATAGTAGTTCAAATTCTGTGATTAAAGTGCCTTAGCAGTTGTAAAACGCAGGAATGCGAAGTTCTTTAGAAAACCAATGATTCAAGAATTCCAGGATTTTGTAATTGTTGTTCTTAGTTGAATAAATATATCTATTACTTCTGTTAATACAATTCTAAATACAAATTAAATTCATTTAGTCTTTTCTTTGTATGAAAGCTTGATCACTTAAAATTCAAGAATTAAGAAATAGAACCAAGAAAAAGGAACTAAAACAACCGTTCCTAGAGAAAGATCTTGATCATCTGATCTTTACTACCCAACAGTGACCTCAGCCATAGCCAGATCTTCTTTTTATATGATTCATTGGCCAACTTGCTCTTATTTTTGTTTTGCATCCAGGGTGTGTATGGTTCGATTCAGTTCAGTTTTCTTTACCAAAGTGAACTGAATTGGAAAAAATAATTTAGTTCAGAAAATTCAATTTGTTTATTAGTTCAGTTCAGTTCATAACTAGTCCGGTTCTATTCCAAACCAGTTTTGAATTGGTTTTCAATCAATTTAGAATTATTTTTCACAATCAATTCTGAAGCCAAATAAAAATTATAAAAAGTTAAAGAAAAAAGATAAAAAATTAAAAATTAGATATAAATGATACTAAAAATTAAAAAAAAAATTCGTAAGAGAAAAAAAATATAGACGAAAAAGAAGACATTAAATAAATAAGATAAAAGAAACAAAGAGCGAAAAAATAAATGAAAAGAAGAGAAAAAAAAAACTGATTCAGTTCATGAACTAATTTTCATTCAAGAACTAATTTTTTAAAATAGTTCAGTTTAAGAACTGAATTTTAAAAATGAGTTTTTTAAAGTCTAGTATTTGTTGCGATTGTTTTGCGTATCTCTAAAACTGATTTTTGTAGCAGTTCGAACCCAAATGAAAAAGCATGAAAATACAGAGGAAAAAAATTAAAAAAATTGAAATATAAATAATACCACAAATTAAAAAAAAAACAAAAAAGATAAAATAAAGTAAAAGTGAGATAAAAATTACATAAGAGAAAAAGGAAAAGAAAAGAAAAGAAAAATAAAAAATAAAAGAAATAAAATAATAGAAGTACAGATAAAAGAAGAAATAAAATGAATAAGGAAAAAAAATAGAAAGAAAAATAGAAGAACAAAAGAAAGAGAGAAAGAAAAAGAAAATCAAAGTTTATGATTTTTTAAAGGGTTGGTTTCTTCTGCAGTTACTACAGATAAGTAATCTGCAGTAAACCCAATACGACGTCGATTTGGACGGAAATCATGGTATTTTTGCAATTTTAATTTGTTTCAGGATTAATGTAGTTTTTATAATTAAACTTTTTTGATGTTTTAATCCCAAAACGACGTCGTTTTAGAAGTAAATGCAGATAATTTATCTGCAGAAATATTTTTCTATTTTTTAAATTTGTTCGATTCATAAATTAATTCAGTTTGGTTTTGAAAACCAGTTCATTTCAAGAATTGATTTTTAAAAAATAATTTAATTCAAGAATTAAGTTTTAAAAATTAATTTTTTTTAAATGCAATTCAGTTTAACTTTTTTTTTTCTTTTATACACCCCTGTTTGCAGCTAGCTTACATGTTGCGCCCTGCTTATTTGAGCTTTATGAGGAAAGAGACAGCCGAACTTTAGAAAAGGTTGCTAAAGGCTTGTGTATCCCCGTGTCGACATGTGTAAAACATTAACGATTATACAAATAGGTTTTACAAGAACCCACTTGAGATAATTTGCGTTAACACATTATATATTATAATTTATACAGTGGGGCCAAAACATTTCTCGTTTGGATGGATGCATATTGGACCAATAAATATTTATTGATAACTTTAATTTAAACTACAGTTGTAATTACGATTTTCAAATACAGATGGTGTAATCATAATTGCTGTTACAAGAATCACCAATATTTTATTATTTCAGTCAAAAAAGACTGCAACAGTCAAAAAAGACTGCAATTTAAAATGAATATTCGTAGATATCAAGTAGTTAATAATTATATAGATATAATTTATTGAATGTAAGAATTGCATGTTGTACTTAAGAATGCGCTATTTGACGAGTCTCATGGGAACGGGTACGAGGTTGAAATATTGTTATTGATTTTCGAAAACTAAGATTTTCATAGCAATCCTAATTTATTAGGGGTACGTTTCATATTGAAAATGGAATTCGGGTTCTTTTAAAAATTTGTGATATTTTACAAGCATATATGAGTAACCTGTTAACCATACCAAGTAAAATTCTTTTGTTTTTCTTCATTTTAGTGTATCCAAATATTACGGAAAATAAAACATTACAGGAAAGAAAAAAAATAATAGATACTAAGTTGGTTCAATTAGAGTTTATCATTTTAATTTTAATTTTGCCAAACCCAATCTTTTCAAACACAAAATTTTAATTAATTTAGATCCATTTTATCATAACATAAGGACGTCTTCCATTTTTATCATCAGGAGACAGATTGTTACACGAAGGACCTCTACAAGAGAGAAACAGCAGTGAGTAAGGCTTAGGAACTTAGTGGCTTGAAGATGCCACGTCATTCCTATAAATAAGGGGTCCACGTTAGTAGTTAGTTGGTGTGGGCATGTTAGTTAGTGTGAGTAGGACATTGTTATGCAGTTAGTAAGGTGAAGCCTTTGGTAGTACAAGAGGTGAACTCAAGTGTGAGAGGAATTTTAATCAATCAATATACGATTTGTTTTCTTATGCTGTTAGGTTCACCCTAACAAATTGGTGCTTTCATCCGTGAACAACATTCACGCTTTTCATGATGAGGGTTCAAGATCTAGTTGAGGAATTCTCTGCGTTCCAGCAAAAAGTGGATGCTCGTCTGAATGACAATCATTCCCAGCTGCTTCGAGTCGAAACCAGGTTAGATGATTACCAGAACCAAATGGCATTAATTGTGACTCAATTGCAGCAGTTATATAACATTGTTTTAGCGATTGATACATGTTCGAGTGACCCACATCGTCGCAATCCACATTTCGATGCAACATCTTCTTTGAATACTTTGCATGGGGAATCTTCTGATGTCCGCAATTTATCCAAGGCAATTAGTTTGGAAATTCCGTTATTCAATGGTGTTGATCTGAATAATTGGATTTTCTATACGAAACTTTTCTTTATGTTGCAATAGATCTCAGAAGAATTCAAAGTGCCTCTTGCAGGCTTGCGTATGGAAGGAATAGCTGCTGCTTGGTATCAATGGATGTATAACAGTGGGTTGATTCGTTCTTGGAATGATCTTACGCAAGGTTTACGTGAGAGATTTGGAGTTTCAGCTTATACGAATCTAAAAGGGGTTTTTTTATCAAAGCTCACCTAATCCAGTTCTCTACTTAATTACATCCAACAGTTTGAGGTATTGATTAATCAGGTGCCAGTTCTTGAGGATGATCTTTATATGAGTTTTTTTGTGTCTGGTTTACAAACAGAGCTTTGAAGCGCTGTTCAGTTACACTTTCCGTCGACACTCCATCAAGCAATGCAACTTGCATTAGCTTTTGATGATCACCATTCTGAACTGCGTGCCTCATTCACTCTTAGTTTTAAGAAGTTGCCACATAAACCAATTCTTATTCAGGAATCTGTTCCAGTTCTTGTAAACTCATATTCACCTCCTTAATTACCAACCACGAGTTCTACATTAGCCCTACTAGCACCACCGATACCAACGGTTAAGAAATTTTCTCACGCGGACCTTCAGAAGAAATAAGAGATGAGGCTTTGTTATTACTGTGATGAAAAATGGAATGCAAAACATCAATGTAAAAATAAATTCTTTTTAATGGTTGGAGAATTTGATGAGCAGCAACTAGATAAGGAGGAGGAAGAGCAGATAGTATGGCATTTAAAAGAGATTCAGAAGGCACCTCATGAAGGAGCTTTACATGCGTTACATCCTCAGTTTAGGTACTCGTTCCATATTGTTCCTTGCTGAGATTAATGCTTGTGAGTTGTTTGTGTTAGTTGATTCCGGTAGTACACATAATTTCATTCGCAAGTAGCTAGCCAATGATCTGAAGTTCCCAATGACTCGTGCCAAGCGTATGCGAATTTTTTTGGGCAATGGTGAATTCTTGGTGGCTGATTGCAAATGTTTGAATGTACCTCTTATTCTGCAAGGTTATCTCTTCATAGTGGATCGTTGGGTGCTGGAGCTGATTGATTTGAGTCTTGTGTTAGGAATGCCTTGGTTGGAGAAGTTGGAAAGAGTGACACATGATTACATGAGTAGGTCCATGGAATTTTGTTGGAATGGACAGAAGGTGATCTTAGAAGGGTCAGTGAATCTTGCAGAGCAAAATTTGATGATAGAGGAGGAAGAAACTGAGGCTGTTACTTGCTTTGCTTTCATTCAAAATAGAGATGAGAGTATAAAGGCTCCTGCACCAGAATTATTGGCATTGAAAAAAGTGGTATATGATATTATTTGGCAAGTTTTGCTGCAGTATCAGGCTGTGTTTCAATCTCCTTATGAACTACCTACATTCAGAGGATTAGATCATGAAATTCACTTGGTTGAAGGCTCCAAACCTGTGAATGTAAGACCTTATCGTTATGCTTACCATCAGAAAGCAGAAATAGAAAAGCAAGATCATTAAGGATAGGTTTCCTATTCCTACTATTGATGAACTCCTTGATGAATTGGGAGGTGCCAAGGTGTTTAGCAAGCTAGATTTGAGGGCTGGGTATCACCAAATCAGAGTTTTACCTCAAGATGTTCCAAAGACAACCTTTAGAACATATGAGGGTCATTATGAGTTCTTGGTTATGCCTTTTGGCTCGACCAATGCTCCTGCAACATTTCAGGCAGCCATGAATCACTTATTCAGACCATATCTTCGGAGATTCATCATAGTTTTCTTCGATGATATCTTGGTGTTTAGTAGAACAATAGATGAACATGTGGAACATTTAAAAATTGCTCTAGGCAATCTGCAACTGGATAAGTTCCTTGGGAAGTTATTTAAATGCTCCTTCGATACAACTTCCATTGATTATTTGGGACATGTGGTATCTGGAGAAGGGGTGCATGCTGATCCCAAGAAAATTAAAGCCATGGTTGATTGGCATACTCCTTACAATATGAAGCAACTTCGCGGGTTCCTTGTGTTGACAGGTTATTATCGAAGGTTTGTGAGGAATTATGCGATGATAGCTATACCCTTGACTGATTTATTGAAGACAAGATAGGAGTTCAACTGGACTAAAGAGGCAACACAAGCATTTCAATGCCTCAAGGATGCAATGACTCACACATCGGTATTAGTTTTACCTTATTTCAATTTTCCTTTTGTAATTGAAACTGACGCTTCCAATAGTGGAATAGGAGCTATGTTGTTGCAACATGAACGTCCTCTAGCTTTTTTCAGTAAGAAGCTGGACATTAGGATGGAAAATGCTTTAGTATATGTGAGGGAACTTTATGCCATCGCAGCTGCAGTAAAAATATGGAGACAATACTTGCTTGGATCATCATTTGTGATTAGGACTAATCATAGAAGCATTCGAGAGTTGTTGAACCAAACGATTCAAACAACTGAACAACAAAGTATTTGTGCAAGCTGTTAGGCTACGATTTCAGAATTGAATATAAGGTGGGCCGCAACAATTTGGTGGCTGATGCTCTGTCTAGGGGGTATGAGGAGGGTGGTCTCAATGTGATGGTCTCTCAACCAATATTTAGTATCTTGGAGGAGGTCAAAAGGCAGAATTCTAAAGATCCATATCTGCTTCAACATCATCAGAAATGGTTGACAAATCCTGGGGCTGATAAGAATTTGTCAGTTAAAGATGGAATTCTTTTCCACAACAATAGGTTTTTATTGAGTCCCAGCTCTTCCTTGATTTCCACGTTAATTCGTGAGCTCACACTACACCCATTGGGGGTCATGCTGGGTTTCTTCGCATATTTCTAAGACTTTCTGTAACTTTTTATTGGAGCTCAATCAGAAGAGACGTGAAGGAGTTTGTTAGCAAATGTGGGGTATGCCAACAGGTTAAATACGAAGCATCTAAGCCTGGTGGGCTGTTACAGCCTTTGCCAATACCGGAGGGCATCTTTGAGGACCTAACTATGGATTTCATAGTTGGATTACCACCGTCCAATGGGTACACCACCATTTTGGTAATAGTGGATAGGCTTTCTAAATTTGCTTACTTTAGCAAATTGCCTCGTTCATTTACTGCAGCTGTGGTTGCCAAGCTCTTCTGTGAGTTGGTGGTCCACGTTCATGGGTTCCCTCGGTCTATAGGCTCTAACAGAGACCCTATCTTTGTGAGCCAGTTTTGGTCTCAATTGTTCAAACTAAGTGGAACGACCTTACATACCTCTACAGCTTATCATCCTCAATCGGATGAGCAGACTGAGGTAACAAACCGTTACTTGGAGCAGTATTTGCGTTGTTTCTGCAACAAGAAACCTCAAAGTTGGTCAGCTTTCATTAGATGGGCTCAGTTTCATTACAATTCCAGTGTACACTCAAGCATTGGCATGAGTTCGCATCAAGTAGTTTTCGGTAAGTGTCCAATATTGATTCCCCATTATCCTCGTGGGTTAGTGAAAGTTGAAGCTGTGGATTCCTTGCTGGTGCAGCGAGATGAAATCCTTTCTCGTCTCAAGATGCATATGTAGCAAGCACATAACCGGATGAAGATCCAAAGCGACAAGTGTAAGAACCCGCACCGTTAATTAAGGTATTTAATTAATTAATTATGTGAAAATAGGAAACGATTCCATAATTGACCCTAATAATTATTTATGAGGCTTATTAATTATAATAAGTGGGTTAGAATGCTGAAAGTCGCTTTTCGGAAGAAAAGTGCTGATACCGGTTCTGCTAGTCAGTATAAATGCGTACTGAAAAAGTATCCCGGAAAATTAATGTAAGTGCATGATAATTACTAGAATGATATATAGGACTTGTAAAACGAGTTTCAAGTCCAAATAATGAGAACTGGTACTAGAAATCGGTACTGGCTTTGAAAAGCGCGTACCAGAAAGGTGCTCAGAAAAATATAATAAAAATATGATAAATCTTAGAAAATTATGTAGTTTCATAATCCAAAGTTTGGGATTAAAATACTAAGCGTAGCAATTAAAGCTAATACTGCGTGATTAAGTGTGAGTTGGCTATTTATGCACTTACTAAGGGCACATTGCCCTAGATACCTGATTTCCCTTCGTGAGAGAGGCTGACCAGCTGCTTGAGCACTGTTCCATTGGTCTCCTTCACCTTCTCTTGAGCCAAGTTGGGATCTTTGGCATTGATCCTTCTCTTTTCTTCTTGTAAACACTTGAGAGCATCATTGTTGAGTGAAAGGAGAGCCTTTTGGTGAGAGTCCAGCTGCTGTGAGAGGTGTGAGGGAGCTGTGTTTTCTGTTCTTGAGGGGTGTGACCTTTTGTTGGCATTTTGATGCTCCAAGGTGCCTTCTTGTTGAGTAAAAGAGTCATCTTGTGTTACATTTTCGTGCATCATCCTTGAGTCAGACTTAAGGGGTTGTGATGAGCTCCAAGAGCATCTCCATTCTGAGTTTTGAGCCTTGGTATGTTGTACCACCCTTTAACTTGAGTTTAAATGCTTAAAAATGGTACCTTGATGCATCTAATGACTAAAAGATGATAACTTGTTGTTGGGTAATGTTGAACACACCTAGAAATGCATGTTTAAGTGTTTAAAATCAGTAAAAACCCAACCTTGAAGGATATCTTCACGAAATGCAAAAACTGCATTATGTCGTGAAATATCCGGATATTGGATATCCGGATATGGGGTATTGGGATATCTAGATATTGGATATCCGGATATGTGAATCTGTATATCCGGATATTGCATATCCGGATATGGACAGTGTGATATCCGGATATTGCATATCCGGATATGGTCCCGAGGAATATCCGGATATTCTGGGATTTCGTGGAACAGTAGCTGTGTTGTGTGTACAGTAGGCTATTGGGGGTTTGTGGACCCTAGTTTGATGAAGTTGAACTTCTGTATTTATTGGACTAAGCCAGAATCATGGGATTAAGGGCTTGTGGCTTTGTTAGAAGCTTTAAGACTTAAAACGTAATGAAAAGGCGTTGTCTTTAATTTGTATGCATGTGGTACATGTTTATTGATTTATATTTGGTCCATATCAGATTGTGATCTGCTGTGATTGGACTTTGAGCTTGTGGCATTGGATATCTAGCTTAGAGGTAAGCTTTCCTGTCCTCGGTTTAGCCATGTTGTGGTTCCACCATGTCCCATGGGGATATGGTATATGCATGTTGTGTTACATGCTTTTGATGTTTTGGAAATGTTGTTGAGCTATTGTATGTTAGTGCCTTGTTGATATGCATGGAGGTGTTCCACCTATACGGTAAGCCTGAGTATGTAGAACATACAAGAGGGTGAGGTTGTGGGTGAGGTGCAAGCGGTGTTCCTTGTACTACATGTTGGGAATAGACGTATTCCTACATTTCTCTGGCCAGTAGATAGTGATTACACACATGCCATAGATATCTGTTGCACTGCATAGTTTTGGAACTGATAATGATATAAATGCTTTTAGAACTTATATTGCACATGTAAGTGAGCTTGGGGTGGAAGATCCTTGAGGACCCCTTGTCTTACTGAGATTTCTTGTTTAGAGATCTCACCCCACGTTTGGGGAATGCTTATTTCAGGGTCAGGTAATGATGAGACCTCAGGCGGCAGGAGGCCGGAGTTGAGTTAGATTGCTGTTATATTATGCTGCCATGTTGGATGCTGGATTTGCATGCTGCTTTTATGCTTATAGCTTCAGTTTATGTTTTTGGAGTTTTATGTTGAGACTTGTTGTTTACTATGTTTATTTGGTGAGCATGGGGATTGTCCATGACACATAGTATTATTATGTCTTGAGTCTTTTGGAGTTGTATTAATGTATTAGGATATTGTCCGGATTACGAGATGTAATGTCGTGATTTAGATACACACTTTATTTATATATTGAGGTATTTTAGTAGATGACTTATTGCAATTTACATACAGGCGTTATTTTATGAAATTGATTAAGTAATCACGTTGGTAATTGATAATGACGTCATAATTGAAAAGAAAAAAAATATTCTTCATTTTTAATTAAGCACCGCTTAATACGATGTAATGTTAATATTCCGAGTATACACGGGGTGTTACATTTTATGGTATCAGAGCAACGGTTCAAGGGAAAAGCCTGTATGTATTGCAATGCTTAGGATGTTTGGTTGTGTCTGTTTTGTGTGTTTGCTCCATCGAGTATTATTATGATAATGCATATGTGACCACATTGCGTGGGCCTGATCAACTCATAATTTGTGTAACTTGTGCAGAGTCATGGTAAGACCCGGGGGAAACTGCGAGACTTCGGAGGATCGGCCCGATCCTGTCCTGGCTGCATTGGCTGAGATGCAGGCGGCCCGACTAGCCGACCAGGAGGCCATGAGAATGGCAAACCAGGCCATGCTGGACGCCGTCAGAGAGGCGAACAGGAAGGCCACTGAGGACGTGTTGGAGGCCAACCGTCTGGCGAACATGACGATGTTTAGAGTCATGTTGGAGGAGATGAGGAATGGCCCTGATGTTGGTCATGCTCCTCCGCCACCTCCTCCACCGCCACTGCACCACTACCACCACCTCCACCCAGTCTGCAGGATGACTCTCAGAGTCAGATGGGAGATGACAGTCACCTTACGGGGGCCATGCAGACCGTCCCTGTTTTTGTTGAGGATCGTGATGAGATCGACCGCCGGTTGAATGCTTTCCGTAACCATAAGCCACCTGCCTTTGATGGATCCTTTGATCCTGTTGCTGCGACGCATTAGCTTCAGGCGTTGGACAAGATATTTCGGGTCATGCAGTGCACAGATCCGCAGAAGTTGATGTTCACTACTTACATGCTGGAGGGCGATGCCCATGAGTGGTGGACAAACCTTTCTCTCTTCTACGAGATGCAGGGTCATGTGATGACTTGGCCTATGTTTGAGGATTTCTTATTGGGTCAGTACTTTCCATATGACGCTCAGGAGAGGCAGCAGGGAGAGTTTGACAGATTGGTTCAGGGCTCGTTGTCTGTGGACGAGTACCTGGCTAAGTTCAACCAGTTGGTGAAGTTTGCACACTTCAGGATGGCGAGGCCTACTCCTACATTTCTGGTTGCTAAGTTCCGCAGGGGACTTAGTGAGGATATTGCTGGTTACCTAGCTGGTTCTGCTTCTAGAGATTTTGGGACACTGGTTCAGCAGTGTCGTGATATTGAAGATTACTACAGCTCGAGTAAGGCCAAGAAGGCCAAGGTTGCTGAGGCGACGAAGGTTGCAGCTGGTAGTTCCACTTCTTGGCAAGACAGGAAGTTTGGGAACAAGGGCAAGGGTAAACAGTTGGCAGCTCGGCAGGCGCCGAGTCAGTTCAAGGGGACTTCTGCTCAGGGGAGTGCAGCGAGACCTCCTGCTCCCACGTGTTCGGGATGCGGGAAGACTCATTTTGGGCCGTGCTCTACCGGCCAGTTGATTTGCTTTAAGTGTGGCAAGGAGGGCTATTTCTCCAGAGACTGTCCGTCGGCAACGGCGAGGGCTACTGCAGTGCAGGCAGTGCCACTTCAGATGGTTCCCCTTCCACCTACTTCGGCACCGGCAGTGCCACCATCTTCTGGAGAGTTTATACTCTGGATCGTCAGCAGTCGGATCGAGCTCCGAACCTTGTCAGAGGTACTGTTATGATTGGTACATCAGCTGTTGATGTTTTGTTTGACTCTGGGGCTACGCATTCTTTTGTTGCTACCCCGATTGCTGTGGGGCTTGAGTTGCCCATGTCTATGCTTTCTCCACCGCTGCGGGTGACCACCGCCACCGGAGAAAGATGTGATGCTACCACTGTCATCGCGATGTGGCGTTTCAGTGGGATGGCCGTGAGTTCTCGGTAGATCTGATAGGGTTGCCGATGGCCAACTTGGAGGTTATTCTGGGCATGGATTGGTTGTCCAGAAATTGTGTGATGATTGACTGTTGTGCCAAGCGTGTAGTGTTGTCTCCGTGTGATTCCACAGCCAGTTCCTCGCCGTACATTTCGTTGCTGCAGGCTAGGAGAGCCTTGAGAGCAGGGGCATTTGGTTATGTCATGTTGGGAGGTTTGGTGAGTGGTACACAGGAGGATATCACTGGCATTCCTGTGGTGAGGGAATTCCTCGCGGTGTTTCCTGAGGAGATTCCTGAGTTTCCGCCACAGAGGGAGATAGAGTTCTCCATAGATCTGTTGTCTAGTGTGGGGCCGATTTCTTTAGCTCCATACCGGATGTCGCCACCGGAGTTGGCAGAGCTGAAGAAGCATATTGAGGATCTTTCAGCGAGAGATTTCATTAGACCGAGTGTGTCTCCTTGGGAAGCACCGGTTATCTTTGTGAAGAAGAAGGACGGGACAATGCGATTGTGCACCGACTACAGGCAGCTGAACAAGGTGACAATCAAGAACAAGTATCACCTTCCTCGGATCGATGATCTGTTGGATCAGCTCAGGGGTGCTTGTGTGTATTCCAAGATTGATCTCCGGTCTGGATACCATCAGATTCGGGTGAAGCCGGAGGATGTCCCGAAGACCGCATTTCGCTCGAGATATGGTCATTTTGAGTACTTGGTGA